TTTTTCATTGGCGTAAACATGAGCACAGTCAAAGTGTCGGTAGCCCACATCAATAGCATCTCTAACAGCTTGACCCACTTCTGCTTCTTTACCGGGAGGACCCTAAACACTGTTTTAAAAAATGCTAATAAATAAAACAATACTTCTACCTGCCATGTACCCAAGCCTAAAGCTGGTATGGAGAGACCGTTATTCAGTTTAATTAGAGGAATCCTCGGCATGATTACGGTAAACAAGATAGTGTACCTTAACTGATGTGTTGCATGTGTTTGGTTAGGTATTTATACTTGGGAAATTGTCTGAGTATTTGAGATAACAGTAATCTGGTCACAACTGATGTTGTGATGGAATATTTGAAATGTTGATATAAAAACTGTAGTCAGGGCACATACTTCATTTTCTACTATTTTGAAATTGATAAATAGGAAAATCACTTCTTTGCTACAGCTTTTAAAGCAAAAGTGATTTACAAAATTTTAATTTTAACTTCAACAATGTTTCACAAAAATTAAAATCAGCGGTCAAATATTGAAATATTGAGCGTGTTTACTCATGCCACAGAATATTGGATTTCATGCAGATATTTATGCAGTCACCTACGAGTATGTTTTTTTTAAGTTTCATGTTTTAATTATTGGATTTTTATTAAAACAAAACAAAAAGCATTTTTTATTTATTTCTCGCAAATAAAACAAATATTTAGCGTTTAAATTATAATAGCGTTAAGTAACATTTAGCTGCAAAATAATTAACCAATTATACAAGTACTAAATTTACCAATATTGAAAGTAAACTTCAATTAATCAAGTTAATTAAATGCTGTCTACTTTTTATGTCCACATATAATTGTATGTTAAAATATCAATAACAAAACAAACTAAAATCTAACAGCAGAACATAACGCATTTACCTATTATACTCTTCACAGTCGAATGTCGCAATATAACTCATATCTTCAGGTGCTATGTAAAAATCAAAGAAATTTACATTCTCGATTAAACTCTCTGATATCACAACATTTTCTAACTGTAAATTATATCTCAACACAATTTCTATTGGAGTTTTGTTATATCTTCTAGCATTTTTTTTAATTCTGCTGTCATCGAAAACATTGGGATTTTCAGGTCGAATACTATTTCTCGAGCTATCTAAATGACTGTAACTTATTACAGTAATTCCATTGTTCGAACAATACTTTCTTAGTCTAGCTTGATTTAAGTAAGGGTGACATTCAATCTTAAAAAATCAATAAGTCCAAACCGTTTAATCTACAACCACTTACTTGATTAACTTGCGGACAAACTGCACTATTTTTCAAAATGCATTCGATCTGTTTACTGTTAAAATTTGAAAGACCGATTGCTCTGGTGAGTTTCTCTCTGTAAAGCTCTTCCATGGCTTTCCACGTATTGACAAAATCGACAGCGATGAGGTTTTTGTCATTGAAAGCTGCAGGCTGGTGAATTAAGTACAAATCTAAATATGTAGTTTGCAATTTTTCTAAAGTAGTTATAAGCGCAGGTTTGATTAAATTTGAACGAGGGTTACTGCAGTATAATTTCCCAATAATAAATAGATCTTCGCGTTTAGTTTTCCCTTCTTTAATCAGTTGCTGAAGAGCGACGCCAATCTTTTCTTCGTTTTCAAAAATAGCGCAGTCTATTAGACGGTAGCCTAAACTTATTGCACTGACTAATACTTCTCTCACTTCATTGTTGTCCCCGAAACTCTAAAAATTGTTATTAAAAATACTTTTTGATTTTTTTTATAATTTATTGCATAACATTACGTCTAGCTACTGTTCCTACTGCTATATAATTTTTATTTTAAGTAGGTATACTTTTCTATAGATAATATCTAGAGAAAATAAGTAATCAACCTTGAATATAGTAGCTGTTATCTATGAATTAGATTTATATGTGATATTCTACAAAGTAATGTTCAAGTAATTTGAAAATTATCAATTATTGGCAAAAAATAAATAAATTACTAATTGTGTATTGATTCTTTATTAGTTTTGACTCACCTTCGGTATTGCTAATCCAAAAACCGGAATTTCTACTCCATTATTTAACTTGGTTATAGGAATATCACGAATTCGTGGAGACATTTTTACAAGGTTTAGTGGAAAAAAATCAATGAAATTAATTATGAGGTGTGTCAGCAGAGATAACAGTTGACACAAATAAGATAAATATAAAATCCAATATTGTGCGATAATTTGTATTGATTAGTAATTACCTACAAGTTTTCACATAACAAAATATTAGAAAAGCAATTAATGTAATTAAGCTCCTATTGTAAATTTTATTGAGCTTTAACAAAGCTTAAATCATAAAAATTTTATTTTTTCTGTAGCGCCAGCGGGCAACAAGCTTTGTAAAAGTTTGATCGTTTATTTTACGCTTCCATTATTCAATGATTGCGTTAAACGAGTGTTAAAATTTTAATGTCATTGCGAAAATTATTCGTTTTTTCACTTTGTGTTGTTTTAATTTTAATTTTGTTACAAATTTATTATTCTCACTAAAACGTTATCAATTTTTTGTTCCACATTTTCAAAATAAAAGCTGCCATTTCTGTTCCGCTTTCTTTAAAAGCTCGCTTATCTCGAAAAAATACTGTTGAAATATGCCCTTAATTAAATACCGGTTGTAAAAAAATCAGAAGCATTTATAATTTGTTAGGGGTTCATTTTCTCGTGTTTGCGATTGGTCTGACGTTCGTAAAATGTGTCGCGATAACATTTTATCCGTGTTATAAATGAATATAATAATCATATAAAAAAATAATGTTTGTGTATTTTGTGCGTGATTTTGCATGTCTAACAGTAAAAGGTTTTATTAAATATGCAACACTTGGACCTAAACGTGGGATTCAAGCTAATTCAATATTGATGCATTTGAAGCGACCTAACATGTACATGCATATTTCAGCACAATTTCTCGTAATGGACTTCACACTGAGTTATTTGTTTTTCAGTTTCATTCAACCATCAGTGTGACTAAGTCTTTTACACAATTAAAGAATTAAATGTTTTTAAATATTCGGTTTATTTTATCTCCGAATTGTATTCGCTATCGCAGCAAACCACGTCCTTGTTCATCAAACTTACGCAACGGAAGGACTCTAACCTGCATTTAAATTAAATTAAATAAAAGCAAAAATGCTTTCAGTAGACTGACAAAAACTTCTGGTTATTGATAAAGCTTAAACGTAGTTTAAAAAAATTCTATTTGTATTACTCTTCAGATTTTCGATCAAACTTGCGACTCATATGAAAAACTTTTATTTGCTCATAACGGCGTTAGGGCCGCCATGCGACATTTAAACATTTTGTTGAACGCAAACGATGTCAATCGATGTACGTGGAAAATTTATTCATCGTCGAAACGAAAATGTTAAATATTCCCAATGCTCTTGTAACCTTATAAAGACATAAATTCGATATATAGTCGAGTTTAAAATATGACATTTCCAAATGTCTGCGCAACAAAAACAAAAACGCCGTCTCTCTATATCGCTTATATTCGTATAAATTTTGATAAATTACCCCACTTTTATACAAACAAATTTTAGCTTTAGCGAGACAAGTTACAATGAATCACAAAACAGTGTTCACAGTTTTCAGACGGGTCGTTGTTTATTTATAAAGTTATTACGCTGGCCCATATAATATGTAACCTGTTTTTGAAATATTTAAGCAAAGCAAGATTGTTTACTTATAAGCTTGTTGACTAGAATTATCTTATGTAACAGGTTGATATGTTCTGTTGAAGATGGTGGGATGAAAATGTTCACTTCTTGACTCCTACATTTACATTCTGTCAATATTTATGTAAGGAATAAATACAAATAGAGATATACGAATGTGTTTTGGCATACGGAAATATTGGAAAAGTCCAAAGATAACACCAGAGCGATGTTACCGTAACAAGATTTCTAACAGGGCGAAAATCGTAAACATATTAAAACCATACTGTTTGTAAACTTAAAGACTGTTTTTTTTATCACAAATGGCACATCTTATATTTGAGAACTAATTTTCTTACTTTGTTTACAATAAGTACAAAACATATCATATAATTTCCAAAACAATTCAAAAACAATTTCGGCTTTAGGAAAGATATGACAAACAAATGTCTTATTGTTTCATTCAAAGCGTTTAAGAAATAAAATAAAAATGAATACAAATTTTATTACATACAATATACGTAAACATTTCTATTTTAAGGCTGTAAAAATAAACACTAAAAAAGTGATTGAATTTTTTTATCTATTGGTAATACACGAGACTGATTTTTACGATTTTTTAAGAATTTATACAATCTGAAATTCTAAAACAAAAAAATCGTTTTTTTTTTTTTGTAAATACGACTAGCAAATGTGTAATTTAGTCTAATTATAATATTGATATACAGGGTGAATATAAGGAATGGAACCAAACAAATTTTTTTTTAATTTATTTGCCTCCAGAAAACAATAATTAATAGGTATAAATTAAAGTAATATAAAAAATGTGATCGTATTTTAAAAACAAAATTTTGTTTTGTTTTTGAGTTATGCGATTTTTTTTGTCAAAATTGCTATTTATGTATTTTTTTTAAATTAATATAAAGTATATAGTTGTAATCTTTAGATCATACCATTCATGAGAAAAATGTTTTTTTAGTTGGTAGCCTTTTATAAAAACAAAAAATTTTGTAGAGCTCAAAAACAAAAACAAATTTCGAAAAAAAAAATTTTTCCTAAAACATCATATTTTTATAGTACTTACTTTATAATTCATCAATTAGTTTTTCCAAAAAATAAATAGTTTAGGAAAAAACGTCTGATTCCATACTTTTTATTCACCTGGAAGGTGGTATAGAATGTTCCAAAAGCAAAGCGCCATAAGTCAACCAATAATAGAAAATGTTATTCTGAAAAAAAAAGTTTAAACATTCTATTTTGTTTATTTGTTAAAGAGTTATGGTTTAGCAACGTGTAACAAAGTTTAAACAAGAGGGTCGGAATAAATTAAAAACGATCACATTTATAAAACAATTGCTTAGTTCCAAATCTCATAATTGATACTGTAAGTGTGGTACATAAACATAAAGATAAATCCAAAAATGATTTATTTATGAGACAAAAAAAACTTTAATTGAAAAAAAATTTAAGCAGACATAAGACCTAAAGAATTGCTCAAAATGCTTTTCATTTCTTCAATTGGATGAGACTTGAAGCTAAGCAGTTGCTTCATAAATGTCTTTCTTTTTAATTTAAGACGATTTGTACAAAATTCATTTTAATTACTCTTTGCTAAATTGTAACTCTTTTAACAAATGAACTTTCAAACTATGCAAAACCTTTCAATTCAAGATAGTAAATAAACAGTTTATTCGAAAATTGCATGACCCTATAGAAGAATTAATCTGAATTTAGTAGGTATTTAGTATGATTACCATAACAACACAAAAAATTTCCGGAAATTTTTTGACTCATTAGCTAAAATTAATAAATGGAAATTTTTTGACAACAAAAACTAACCCCAAATTATGGAACAATTTGGCGCTTATTGCTTTATTGCTGTTTAATAAAATTCCTGAAAACATAGACGGCATAAAACTAAAAAAATACAAATAATAAATGCGATATTTTTTAAATGTTAAAAATGTTTTTAAATTTTTTGGTAATCTTTTATGTTTGTAATGTAAGCTTTTTTCACTACAAAACAAAGCGTATTACAGTAATTATAATCGATCGTTTGAGCGCCTTAAATGCCTTCATTTATAACCTGTCAAAAAGTGTGTAACTTCAAATACGTTATCATTCCTTCGCCTCGTTTAACTCGCCATCACCGTCTCATGTCTAAAGAGCCATCAAGCAGCTTTCCTAAATGAAATCTCGAATACACAAGTGTGATGGCTTCCACGGCGAAAAACTCTACGTTTTATTCTGATTACTCCAATCTCAGGAGATCTGCTTTTCCTTGGCGTCTGCACTTACATGTCAAGGTGAACATTAGTTCAATGTTATGATGTAATGTGAAGCCTCGCGATCAATCTATCTTGATTAGGCCCGTTGACAGGCTTCATTGCTGTGACTGCAGCTACTTTAAAGGCGAAATAGAAAGGAATCCATCATTCTTCATTACATGAGATAAAATCAGAGCTTTAGTGTCCCAACCACCTCATACAAAGTGGTTCCGCTTGCTACAGTTCAACGATTATATATTTACGCAATTTGTCTCCGATGGGCACAATTCGTCTGATATTATAATTACAAGAGAAAGCTCAGGTTATTAATTTTCATTTAAGCTCTGGAATGATTTCCAAAGTTCAATTAGCGGTTTTCGGGCTTTTTATGTTCACGTATTTCCCAAGCGGGAAACTTTCTTTGTAGGTCACTTCCTTTCAAATGTTATATTTATTAAGCTTTCAGAATAGAATTTCAACCGTACTAACAAGGTCTATCAAAATTTCATAATTTAGTTTCGGGTGGCAAAGCTCTCCTTGCTAAACCCTGTATTAAATAACTTTCATTTCAGTTAATTAATACGCGGAAATTAAGGAGGATTGATCTATAATAAATGAGACGATTTCCTCACACAATATATTCCAGTCTATAAGGTCTATGATCACAAAATTTATATTTGACTTTATTTTATAATTTGGTAAAACAAATAATCAAATAGTAGTGTTCCTGGAAGCCAATTCTACTTTGTAATCGATGTAATCAGCCAATGTTTGCTAAGACAACAAAAGATAATTAGTAAAATAAACCGATTGATTAGATATTCTATTTGTGGAGTGATGCACCCGCCATGAGCATATTGCACCCCATTTTACTGTTCCCTGTTTATTATCTTTGACATCAAAGTGTTTCTTTAGATTATTGATTCTTTGCATTTTATTGAATTTTCTCGTTAATTTCACGCTGACAAGGCAGCATGCACATAAATTCCACGTCTAATGACGCTTTTTCTCTAGCAATTCGCCACAACATTAATTCAAGACGACAAAACAAAACGAGGGAAAGCGTATTTCTTCAATTATGGTTCACAAAAAAGGGTTCGCATAATTGCATGATCGATTAATTAGCTTTTAACGGCATCTTTATTTGGCTTGTTTATA